TTGCATGCATGGGGCTGAGCCCTGTTGTGTTTCGTGCATGGGACTGAGTCCAGTTGTGGAGCCTGCATGGGGCTGAGCCCATTTATTTTGCATGCATTGGGCTGAGCCCAGTTATGGAGCATGCATAGGGCTAAGCCCTGTTATGTTGCATGCATGGGGGCTGAGCCATGTTGTGTTTTATGTATGGGGCTGCGCCCTGTTGTGTTTCATGCATGGGGCTGAGCCCAGTTATGGAGCATGCATCTTATATATTTATAATATTTATTAATTTTAATACTTAACATACAGTTGATATATTTATCAGTTGAATGGTACGTGAACTGCATGCACTATGAATGATCATGTGTTAAGCAAGTTTATATTATTATAATATGAAAAAAAAAATATTTATCCAAAATGAAAAGTCCCACAATGCATTCTTTTGTTAGGAATTTAATCTACCAATATGGTACAAAGGTGAAAGTATATGATTTCAGGTGTGTCAATCACTGGCTGTTTTGGAACATTCATAAAACATAAATATATGTAAAACAAAAAGACTCTGTAATCCAAGGGATGTATGTAAAGGGTCAAAACCATTATATTAATGCCATACTGCAATGAAACTGACAAATCCTTTGAGCACCAAATTTTTTCTCTCTCAAAATAGGATAAATTTGTACACATTTCCTGTAATTTTCACTGATTGCAGTCATAATTTTGGACCAAATCTGACATTGCTTCTTGTTTTTGATAACAAATTAATTGAAATTTTTGTGAACATTTTTCGTGGGTCAAAAAAGCAGACTGGATGGTGCCTGAATTGACTCACAGAGCCTGAATTAGCACACAGGGTTAATGTATGTATGTATGTATGTGTAAGACAGTGATGTAGGTTGGGGTTATTTTGCATGAATAAACTTCATGGTGTATGTCAAAAAATTTCATTCATTCAGCTTGTATTCAGCAACCACACAACTGATTTTGACATGTAGTAAATAAACCCTGTTGTTTTTATCACACTGATGTCCATGCATTGGAATGAAGATTTTATTTTTTTATTAGGATTAAACAAATCGTGTTAAAATCTCATTTTCTACTAACAGACTATGTGATGCGTTATGAACAGCTGTGCTGCAGTTATTGCTTACAAATATACCGTATTAACATTATTTGAAGCTCTTTTCTAATATGTACTTTGCATATAAAACGAAAAATTGCATTTATTAAATACCGAATGATTCAAATATGAATTATTTTACCTGTACTGGTACCAAACCTCAGCAGTTTACATAAGCACATGCCCTAATAATAGAGATAGTATTAACTGCTAGAGATCAGTTGTCTTTCTAGTTCACCCCAAAATATATTTGCACAAACGCACAAATATAGCCATGTATATTACATTAACATATTATGATATGCATAATCACCATATTTGTCATATTGTGTTTTTTATATACTACTAGTAATCATTTCTTTTATTGCAGTTTTGCTAAAAGAAGCACGACTGGCACGGTTAATAGCGTTAATCAATGAAGGGGAACACAGAGTTGAAGAGCTGACAGATTTAGTCTTGAATTCAAATTCTGCAAATTCAACGTCAAACACACAGCTTAAGGTATGTTATTGTATTCATTTGCAATGCTTTTTTTTTTTCAAATAGGAGCAGATGTCACAATGAAAATAAAGTTAAGTTTATATGACATATATTTATTCTAAGAAAAATAAAACCATGGAAAATTATTATTAATTTTATAATATCAAAACCAACGCAGATCTGTTTAACTCATTATTTAATGTTCCATAGTTTCTGTTTCTTCAAGAACTGTCTTTACGGTTTTGTTTCAGGAAAATGAAAAACTTTTAAAGGAATGGGAATGGAAATTCCGATTGCTGAAACGAATGCGAGCTGGCTATGAGCATGCAAGTAAGTACATATATCAATAAAATATACTATTCTCTCAAAGGTGTACTGTATTGAATCAGCCAATGTTGTCATGGTATCCAGACACTCACATTATCGGTTTTCCAACTGAATAGTACTGGTAATTTTCCAGTTGAATGAATGGTGCCTTACCAAGTTTTTTATCAAATGGTATTACACCCACGCTTGTACATGTACATCTTTTCTATCAATAAAAGTAAGGTTCGGATGGTACAGTATATAAATTGATCCGGATAAATGCTGCTAGTTTTAGTATTCTGAAGTGATTTTGTGTTCTTTTGTATCTTAGTTTTCCTCATGTATCAGGTAAACATGCTTCAGTCATCTATGGCTGCTAAAAATTGTCATTTTTTTACTGGTTATTCAAATTATAAATTTAAAATGGTCGCATATTTAAAATCGTGTCTTCACTGGTAGAACTGTAAATTTAATCTAATGTAAAGATTGCAAGCCTATTTTTGGCATTAGCTGAGACTAGGAGTAAAGTAATTTTAATCACTAGAAAATAAATGGAAACGTTCATGTTGCCTAAATTAGAATAGGAATGGTTGTAGCCATGGTGGTTAAAAATAGTTTTTTTTATAGAGACAGATTTTAAACTACAGGCCCTCTGATTACTCTATCACATGCTTAAAAAAGGTATGTAAATTAACTATGTCCACAGTTTGTTATATATGCACATTTTAGTGTATAACCATATGTGTATTTTTTTGTGTGCGTATATAATTAAGGCAGAGGTGGCATTATTGATGATATCAATATGTCACAGAAACGTGTATTCATGAATACAGAAATCTAACATACAGGTAGTTGTGAGACCCTAGGGATATGCTAACAGTGTTGTATCATACAGAACACTTTTGGTTCGAGTAGATGAGAAAATAACAAATTCTAAATAAATATAAAAAGTTTCATTTCAGGATGTATAAAAAGCCACCCATAATGCATTAGTAGTTTAAATAAATCTTTTAATGTCAGGTAATGTCAGAAGATTGCTAAAAGACTGCTTATAAAGTATCAAGAGATTATTTGATAGGATATTATTGATCCATTGAATGACATCAAATGTCATATGATCAATATGGTTAAATTCTTAGTGAATAAGAATAAAACAATCTGAACATCGGGGACAATCCTAATATAGTGATACCGGTAGTATGCAATCTTTGCTAGAGGGGTAGGCTGGTGGAAATAAAGTTGAGTGAAATAGAATAATGTTTACAACAACAACAACAATTATTGTTTATTATTCATTATTGTTTTCTACTCATTGATGTGCACTATTGCCATTGTTAATATTCATAATTCATTAATATTCATTAAATCTGTCTGGTGCTGACAACTAATCATAGGCAGCTCAGAAATATTCATTTTAATATTTTGTTTTGTAGTATTCATATTTAATAAAATGTTGTCACTTAAAGTTAAGAGCATAACCATTAGGTTTCTGATGTTCAAGTTCAATTATTGTAAGTTTGTTCATCAACTCGCATTGTCTTTTCAGGACCTCCCGAGTGTCCCAAGAGTGTTACCGTGACGACAGCCAGTAGTTCATCACTTCATGTTCTGCTTGAGGAGCCTGCAAATATCAATGGTGCTGTGGTAACAAGATATAAAAGTAAGTTTGATTTTGTAGTAACTTGAATGTACCATAGACTTATTTGGCTTTCATTAAATTATGAAGCAAAACATTATATTATCCGAAGGTATGAGGGGGAAATTTCTGTCTCATTATCATTGTAAAACTATGTTAGAACTGATTGTGTTGTTCTGTAAAATACTTTATTTTCACTTGGAATTAATTTTCACTATTTTGGTTGCAGGATTGATTCAGTGAAAATAAAGTATTTTACTTATTTTACACATTCAACTTGACAAAAATCAGTGAAAATAAATCCATACAAAAAAAGTTTTTCAGCTAAAATGAAGAGTAAATGTAAGATATCATCAATGTCCTGAAATATTTTCTTATAATTTTCTTTTTTTTAATGTCTCATTAATCACTTTAAAATAAAAATTTTGGTACACAGGAAAATCCAGATTTTGTTCGTTTATCTATAGGTTTTCATTCAAACTTGGCACATGGAACATAATACATATAAAAATAAAAAAATGGTCAACTGGTGGCCATTTTGTTTTCAAAAATGCTGTTCTAGAACCATATCATATGTTTTGAAAGCATAATGCCAGATGACTTGACTTGAATTGTAATTTAGTATTGCTTCTTTGTGATTTCCTAACTGAGTGCAATGCTATTTTGAAACCAGAAACATTCACCTATTCAAAAGAAACTAAATAGCTACTGTAACATAAATTTCAATCTAAAACAGCTTTTTTTTGGCTATATAAGGAGGTAAAATTCACCTGTTTTGGTTTAAGTTTAATGAAGACAAGTAGCATGTATTTGTAATTGATAGATACAATGTGACAGCTGTTTATTAGATACTCTTTTTTTTCACCATGTATCAGTAATTCAATTGTCAAGTTTGCATGCTAGGAAGAAGAAAGTAATTTGGTCAATGTCACCATATCATTTCCTCAGTGAATAATTTTGATCGTAAATTAAACTTTACACCACTAGACTTTCTCACCCAAATTTTGTTTGTACTTTTTTCTTATACTCTTCAAAATTTCTGGAACTCTAATTTTAGAGCCAACAGACAAAATTTGAGTCAATTTTTAGTTTTTACTAAAAAAAATGGATATTTCTGTCCAAATCTTCTGAAGGAGGACGGTACAGACTATAACAGACAGGACTATTTTGTGAATTTGTGATGAAAAGAGGGAACTGGTGGTGAAAAGGTTAAACATGTATTTCTGATATACCTGGCAGACATTTTGAATAGCAATTAATTTGAAATAAAATTTTAAGTTGAAAATCAGAAAGATTACCCACATAGAAGACTGCTGTTGATACTTATTATCCTAAATGCATAATACCCCCTTCCTCGTTCCCTCCGTCCCTCCCTCCCTCCCTCTCTCTGGTGGATAGTTTGAATGAGAAATCAACAGCAACTTAATCAAAATATTTCTTAAAATTTTTGATAAATCTGTGTTAAACAGTAGCAGCTATCTACTAAACCTGTATTTATTTTATTTTCAGTTGAGTGGTGTACAAGTGAAGATTTCTCCTCTCCATGTGGAGAACACATACTATATGATGTTAACAATCTATCCTATACAATACAAGGTTTAAAACAGGTGAGATTTAAACCAGTACATGTATCATCTTAAATATGTACTATCAAGTATATTGACCAGTATTTATACGGTAGTTTTTTTGATCATTTTTGGGTTATTTTTATTTATTTTTGCTTCAAAGGGAAATGATATTGCATGCAGTTTAGTTATTTTATGTGTATTGTAAATTTGCCACATTTGGATATTAAAGCTGCAAGGTTGGAGAGGAGTGACACTTCTTTCTCAACTAGTGGTATGTTACTTCATACCACTAGCATATTTGCTATTGTGGATTTGGTTGAAGGTACACTACCGAAACTTGTTTTAATAATGCTTTTAGTACCATGTGATTTTAGCAAATGTTACAGCAAACATTAGACATTTTTGTAAATGAACTGTAGTTTTAAGAATAGTACTAAGCACAGCTGTATTAGCGTCTGTATTTTTCCTTTGGTTTGTTGTGATAAAAAATTATCACTCAATGATCATTGTCTGTTTTTGATCAAGATTATTGTTAACATGGAACTGACAAAACTGTGTGCAAAGCAGAAAAAGGGGGATTCACCAAATACTTACTGCAGAATACTTTATTTTTCGCTTGGAATTTATTTTCGCTATTTTCGCTGAAGGGATGATTTCGTGAAAATAAAATCCAGCGAATATATTTTTGTTTCCTATATTTCACATTCAACTCAATAAAATACAGTGAAAATAAATTCCATACAAAACGGCCAAAAAGTCTTTTCAGCCAAAATTAATTCCAGCGAAAATTCCACAGTGTTGTTTTTTCTTGGCATTGTATTTAATGTTTCCATGACATCCGTTTTATGCAATTACTGTTGATTCATTCTGGTTAAAGCAAAACAGTAACATAAGACAGATTCTGAAACTAATTCTGGCAGTTGTGTATGTCTGCTGTGTTTAAGTGTTATTTTTAGCTATTTTGCTCTTCTAATGGCCAAGCAATTACACTTTTTATAATACTCATGCACATTCTTTTTCCGTTTCATTCCTCCAGGGTGTCAAGTACTTCGTTCGGGTCTCAGCGTTTAATATGAAGGGATTTGGACCGTTTCAAACATCAACACCTCCTTATGCGATTCCATCATGTAAGTATAACCCTGCCACCCCTAAAGTATAAATAGTTTAGACCACAGATAACTGTTATTTAGTCATTTACACTATACTGGGAAAATTTAAAGAATGAAATGATACAATTTATTGAAGAGTACATGAAGTTCATAAACAAGAAATAAAATGATCGGATATCCATACTTGTAGGTTCGTGGGCACTCGGAGTGAATTTTTTTTTCTTACCCAGACAGTCTTGGCTAGATAGTGTTAAAATATCGGAGCTTTGTCAATGCTGGAACATACTAAAAAAATGATTTTAAAATAACTGAGGCACGTATGTGATTACAAATTAAAGCAAAAATTTCAAAAACCACCAAGAAAGTACTGTAACAAACATCTGTCAATCTGATTTATTTCCTATGTTTGAAAGATCATCTGTCACATGGGGGAAACTACACATGCATGCATGTCGCTGTTTTTGAATGCGCATCAAAATTGGTAAATAGTATGAAATATAAGATTTTTTAATGACGACAAGATGCATCTAATTACTGTGATCTTGTTTTATCATGTTTTATCTGTATGTTTATTGGTAAGAAAAAGGTTTGAAGAGGGTTAAATTTAACACCAAAAGTAAACTTTCTTGAGTGCTTTATAATCCTCTTAACTCAGTGGTTAGTATGTTCAATGGTGAGAGCTATTTAGATTTAAATGGAATTTTGATGTCTATGCATAATATGCAATTTAATAATCATATTATTAGTCCCCATTCAGGGACTATTAATTTGGGTTTGTTACGTCCATTGGTACGTCTGTACATACGTCCGGAGCTATATCTCGAACAGCCATGCACAGATTTCATTCAAACTTTACACGAAGACAATACATAATGTCTTACATATGCATGTCAAGTTATGATCAGAGCAAAAATGGCCGACTGGCGGCCATTTTGGATGTAAAATTTGCTATTTCTGATACCTAAACGCGTCCGCAGCAGTTTCCTCAGAGATGACTGGGCCAATTTAGATCAAAGTTGAATGTTGATCATACATATTATGTTATAGGTGCACGTCATTTTTTTTATGATTCAAACAAATTTGGCTGACTTGTGGCCATTTTGTTTTCCATGATACCCATGCCTACTTTCCCATGAATGCAATGAACATTTCTGTTTAAATTTTGTACAAAGACAGTATACCGATAGATACATCAACATAAACATTATTTTTGTAATTTGGTTCAATATGACTGCCCAATGTTCAATTATCGTGTAAAAGCACTAAATCATAATTGTTTACAAATCCATCTCCTATTATTGGTTTCAACCTAATCTCAATGACTTCATCAGCATCAAATTGATATGTCAGATCACAACATTTTGGACGGGGACTGTGTCATTAACAATGACTTGCGTTATTTATAAAGTTTAATCTTAAAACCTGTGTCACGAGTGCGTTCTGGAAAGGACGTATACCTTCACAACTCGCTTCTATTTATATTAATTTATATAAACCCATGTTTGTATGACATTTTGGATTAATATTTTGTACATTTCCAAATCCACATTCAGTCTACTTTATTGGTGTAAAATTTTTGATTTTTTTCGCATGAAACTCATGAAAAATGGGTCTAAATCATTCAAAAATAGAAAAATTGTATTATGTTGATGACCTAATTTATGCATTTGCATAATTATTGACATTCATTAAATGTACATTTATTTTACCCAACTTCAATTCACTGATTGAATTGTTTTTCTTCGCCATACAATTACACAATATGCAACGAATGATAGAAAGGGATATGGGTGTGTTTAGAAATTTTAAATAGTGTTCCAAACCTCTGGACTATGTGACATTTTACTCGTTGTTTCACCCTATAATGTGATTAAAGATGAACTGCCATAGTTTTAACCAAACTAAAAGCTGTTAACACATTAAGGTTTTATCTTTAACCTTAAGGGTTTCACAAAAAACATCTGAGAATTCGCATTACAGTTACGTCTCTATTCAATTTGTTGATGGTACACTATACCTGTAAGGCTGAGAATGAGTCTAGATGGCACCTTAGAGCTCTCCAATCAAGGACATACTAATAAATATCTGTCACGCCTATGATTAGCTCTAATGATTTTGGTTTCTCATCATTAGAACCAATGATGCATGAGATATGTGAATGACCTGAGAGACAAAATGTTATTGCCCTGATATGAATATCACTAAAACAAATATTTTTTTTAATACAAGACAGTTATGTATTTTGATTGATGCAATATAAACTAATTTTCATTGCTTTCTCTGACTGTATTACAAATTTACTTCATGTGACATCCTAGTATATAGTTGTCAGCAGAAATATACTGCAGGTAAAATAGAACACACTGCTCTAATCATATGGTGGTGCATCTTCACAGATTAAATAAATTATTTGATGGTAATTCTCTCTCGGTTATTTTCAGGTTGGCGTGATGTGGACGGTACCAAGTCTCGTTCTAGTGGGCGACTAACGATGATTGACGATCTTTTTATGCAGTATTGCAATTCAAGGCCTGCAGATTCTATGGAGCTAAAATGTGAGTACATGGTATCTTCTCAAGTGGTGACGGTATTAAATTAGATTGACATATACACGCAATAGTATGAAATGAATGAGCCTATGCTGTGTAATTTAGTAGATACTTTGTTTCAATTTGTGCAATATCAACAATAGACTTGCTATAATTTATGTATTTTGATTATGTAACTTTGTGCTAGGATATCAAAGGCTTTACTCGTAGACATATTTCCTGTTGAAACAGCCGTATTCAGAATTGAATTGATAGATGTTTTGTGTAATCAGCTGAGCTTCTATCACAGATATTGTTGTCGCTATTTTTGTGCTGCAGTACCCTGAACAATTCTCAATGAAATTATTTTTTTAATTAGGATATATTACAGATTTTTATTAACATTTGAGATTAGTCTAATGTGGTAGATAATTCATGCATACTTAATGAAATGAGTAAAACATTTGAATTGGTGTATGATAAAGTTCATAATGAAAACTCAGACTATCAATTTCGTAAATAGGACGCCATGATGTATTGAATGGGAACAAGATTCAGTGTATTTTCTATTTGATGTTGTGCTTGAGTGCTGTGTGTGTGTTATGTAGTTGTCAACTACACAATGCAACTAAAATTCACTCTGAACACATAAACCTTCCCCATGGATGCAAATTACTTGTTTTCAAATCTCACTATTTGTATACATTAATCTTACTCACATACGCTTCTAATTATTTTTGAAAAGAAATTCCAAATCGACTCTTCAATAGTTTATTCACTCAAAGAATCTAATACATGTATTGGCAATGGTGAAAAGACTTTTACAAATTTACTATATCCATAGCAACTAGATCCAGAAATCTGTTAAAATCTAATCACTTGTTTTATATTTGAATTACAACTTCTCTTGTTTTTAACATTTTGAGTTATCTGCCAATGAATAGTCATTAAAAACATTCTTGTTTCTATGGCAATAAATTCTAGATCTCAGCCCATCTCTAACAGATTGATACTTGTTTTTCGAGTACAGCCCTTATTAAAAATTTCATGAGAATCCATCTATATTTGAGATATAAATGAAAAATTATTCACAAAATTGCTGTCCCCATGGCAACCAGATCCACATCTCTATGAATCTTTAATGGTTTGGTATCAAGAACAAACTTTTCCATAAATATTTTAAATCTATAATTTTCATGACATTGAATGTGTTTGTCTTTGTGTCTTGAGCAACTTCTTGTCTTTTATTGAAGGTACACTTCTATTAGAGAAGTACTGTTGTACTTATGAAGTATGAAACCTGATTTGTTAAATTTTTTTTACAGCAAATTCATCACCAAAATCATCACCAAGTCAAGTGAGAAAAACAGTCAAGAAAAGCATTAAAACTTTCTTCCAGTCTGCACCTAAATTTCAAAAGAATCTCAAAAGGTAATGTTATTATTACAGACTACTGAGTCCCATCCACAAGAAAGGTTTGCTGATTTCTGAGCAGATACTGAATGTGGTCTCCTAGGAATTTGGGTTTGCATGGTAATTCATTTGCATAAGAATATAATTTACATAAATACTTTGGAACAATATCATCATTAGCATAACAATAACTATGATCGTTTTTGTAAAATTCAGATTAGAATCACCATGCTAAAACATGCCTGGGTGAACCCTAAAAACAATACATTCTGTAAACTCAATTCTCAAGTCACTGACATTCTGTGCCATAGGACTCCAGAGATATTTTCACTTCTACAAAATTTGATGGTTTGTGAAAACATTTTTCTTGGGAAATTAAAACGGTTCACAGGTTCTACATGTAGTGTAGTGATTGTGGAAGTTCCTTTGCATTCAGTTTGGATTTTATTACAATTGGCAAAAACTAGATTCCTCAATGAGCCATATTATTTCTAGTGGACCTCAACATTCATATATAAATAGATTACAATAGTTTATACTCAGTATGTGCATATTGATTAGCTAATTTGCATATTGGTCCACTCAATATTCAGTATCCTAGCAACTTGTTAGGTCACATTATAGAATTTCTAGTTATTATACATTTTACTTCTTGTCATTTTGACATATCAAGTTTCACTCATAATTATATTTTAGGGGAGTCTACCTTGCGGCTTTATTTTTCAATGAAGATCGTGTTCTTGTAACCACAGACGATCAGATTCCAATTGTTGAAGTGGATGAAAATTTTTCAAGTAATATTCACCACGACTTTCACTGGCTTATGAAGGTAAATATCACAAACAATTTATTAAACATCCAATGCAGTATAAAACACAGTGTCTGATATAAAATGCTTTGAAGGTCAAAAATAAATTATACATTTTTATATTTTAAATTATTTGTTATTTTTGAATAGGTTGCTTGTACGTGGGAGGATGTGGATGTACTTCGGTCAGAAATGGAACGCAGTATGTCATCATCGACAGTAGCTTTTCGAAGTAAACTCCTTCAAGCAGTTGCTCAGTTACAGACAGTATTAGGCATACAAGATTTAGGACAATTATATTACCAGCCAGCCAAGGACATGAGTGGTAGTCTCATTATTACAACTGTTAACTACATAAAAGTAAGTCTATTGCTAAACATTCTTATGTATAACTAGGATGTATTTTTGACTTGTGGTGTATTGTATTGTGATGTTTTGTGGTATATTGTCTTGTGGTGTATTGTATTGTGATGTATTCAATAGTGATGCATTGTGATACATTGTATTGTGATGTATTGTCTTGTGGTGTATTGTATTGTGATGTTTTGTGGTATATTGTCTTGTGGTGTATTGTATTGTGATGTATTCAATAGTGATGCATTGTGTTACATTGTATTGTGATGTATTGTGTTATATTTGGGGTGTACCGGGTATTGTGTTTGTTTGGTGATGTATTGTTATGAAGCACTTCTCAAATTCATACTTTAAAATTAAAATTGAATTATTGGAACATAACTGTACATCAGTAGCTAAACTGAGACATATTCAAAGACCATTTGTCTCAAAAAATGTTCATTGGTATCATTTCTGATGTGAAACCGCAAAATTGTTACTTTACCAGTAATGACAATGTTGATGGGGGTTAACTTTTTGTCATAGTTGGTTCATAGCTCAGTTCGGGTAAATAAACTCAGGTAAGGTCGGAGGTTCCACTCTAGATATAGACAGACGTGTATCCTTTAATATGTTTGCCATGTCAGAATAGAATTTGTACTCATCATTAAAATGTTTTATGTTGAGTATCAACTACTCCAGCTACTGTCTATAAATACATGCTGTATTTGATATGTTGCCTGTTGATTCTTTCCTAAGCTAACCTGACAAACATATTTTCTCTGTAATACAGGACCCAAAAGTGTTACAGTCTGTATCCTTAAAATGGACACCTCTTGCTAGAATACAAAGAAAATGGATTGGAACACCTGATAGTGAAGAACCATCGGCACCAGATTTACTAATGACTTCAATCCCGGTAAATAATGCAAGGAGCTTATCATATGAGTGATTGTCCGTCGTCGTCGTCCGTGTCAATGTTTTACTTTTTCGACTTCTTCTTGAAAACTACAAGCCTGAATGCTTTGATACTTGGTGTATATGTACCTTGGGTAGACCTCTCTCAGATTTGTTCATTTCACGATGATATCTTCAATTCTCTAATTTTCGTGAATATTTTTGTAATTTTTGGTAAAAAGTGATATTTTCACCTTGTTAAAAACTGCAAGTCCCAATTGCTTTAATACTACATATATAGGTACTACATGTGGTTCTAACTCAGATTTGTTCATTTCATGATGATATCTTTAATTCTCTAATTTTGATGAATATTTTTGTAATTTTTGGTAAAAAGTGATATTTTCCACATCTTGTTGAAAACCGCAAGTCTGATTGTTTTGATACTATACATATTGTTCATTTTTTAATGATAATTTCTGTTTTTTAATTGAAATGTGCATTGCTAACAGCGGAGCTATCTCAGCCGAGAGGCTGCTTGTTTGGTTTAATATTAAATTTTGTAAAATTGAATTTTGTAAATGTTTATTTAACGTATTGAGGTATAAGTAAAATGTGCTAAACTAAAATTTGGTAATATAATTAGTAATTATCAGTTTGTGCAGATATTACGCAATCGTTGCGTTCTTTAAAGTTGCATGAAAACTTGATTACCTTGATTGAGCTTGTCCATTTTATGAATATTTACAATGTCCTGATAATTTGCTAGTTGTTGTCATTGGTCATCAAAATTTGTCTTTGTGTTTGTTATTGCGGTTCAACTTTTGTGAAGCAAACATTTAGGCACAACGGCGACAATCACCAAAGTTCAACTGAATTTTGCGTTAATTTTGATGTAAACTTGATTTATATCAGTTGAGTTGCAATTAGTACAAATATACAGTCTCAATGTGGACATTGTGCTATCACTCTGAGAAAATCGGGCAAAAGACCTTGTTCACAAGGAACCCAAACATATACATGTATAATAATGTTTCCTGAGTGACAGCCTGGAAACAGTGCATACTATTCAGTAGTGCTTATGTAAAAGTGAAACATAAAAAATAGGCAATATTCAAGTGTTGTTTCTGCTTTTTATCAAATTAATCTGATGGCAAATACAGCAAGAACAATAGCAAATACGTGGCAACACATAGCAACAATAGCAAGTATGTGACTATAAATAACATTAATATGCAAATTAAGCACAATTCACAGAATATATCACAAAATGTAATTGGACGGATATTATTAACGTCTCAATACTCTACAATATCAGATACTATTATGCAGTCTTAAAATAGCTCATCAGTCTTTTCATTCTAATGTACTTTATGTCGTATAGTGGTGAAGTACTTGAGCAGGCAGGCAGATAAATGATGTGAAGGAAGGGGGTAACTAGGCTTGATGCAAATGTAGACTTTAATTACATATCTTCACGAGCTTCATCAAAGTGTTGATTCATGTGTAGCTAGATCAGGGTATGTGTGAGGTTATCCCTGAGCAAATTTATTTGTTTGTCAATGAATAAATAACTTCCTAACTGCAAATTAGTGGGGATAAAAAGTTATTTGCTTTTTACAAGTCATCATTCAATTAATTTATCTCCAATATTAATAAATTTATTGTATCTTTAAAATCACTCAAGGACAAATTTTTAAATTGATAATTTGTTTTAATTTATCACCTTCATAGTGTTTTTTTTTATTTTTAAAAGTAATTTATATGTAGAGGTTGTTCATAGAGCTGTTTGATATGAGTTGATATGTTCGCCTTACAGTTTTGATATTTCAATAATTCAACATTTTTAGATATAATTGCCAAAAAAATTCCTGGAATAATTATCTGCAAAATCAGTAGTCTCTTTATAAAAACTCTGGGAACCACTAGGTTTAATATGCATTTTATTCTTGTTAAATCCAGTCTGTTGCACATTTAATAAAATAGTATAGCAAGCAAGCAAGATTAATTTCCAAGCAGACGAGAGGCTCCACTTCATCTTCATGGTCCGTCTAGCAAATAATGATTTAAACAGACTATCACATATGAACATAATATTTCCATATTTATATTTAACTTTGCTCCAGATACAGATGTTTTGGATAATTGAAAAATCTAACATTTTTCTGCTTATAACATTTTTGAGAATGCAAATTGAAAAAAAAAATTATCTGTCAAACATTATATTTTACTGATTAATACTGATGACAATTATATTGTTTTGTAGGAGAAGATCCTCTACCATCAAGTCAGCACTGTTCCTCTGAGTCGAGGTCTTTATGTTGGTTATCTTAAATTAAGGAGCTCTGTGGATATCATTCGTGTTATGGTGCCGGAAAAAACTCCCAATGTACTGCCACATATAAAAATTCGGGATAATCCCAATGTATCTAGGGAAGAGTGGGAATGGCTGCAGCATTTTGATATCAGTGAGGTGAGTACTGTAAAATACTTTATTTTAGCTGGAATTAATTTTCGCTGAAAAGACTATTTGAGTGTTTTGTATGGAATTAATTTTCACTGATTTTTGACAAGCTTAATGTAAAATATAGAAAAAAAAGGTATATTCGCTGAATTTTATTTTCACTGAATCATTTCTCCAGTGAAAATTAATTCCAAGCCAAAATAAAGTATTCTACAGTAGTTTTTTTTACCTAGTGCCAATCATGTGAGACACGGTGGCCACCCCTGTTATACCAATGAGGTATTTTATAAAATTAACTTATAGCTGAAATTTGTGCAAACATGATGCAAATCTCATCATTAGCTGACGAACTTGTGACATTAGTGAAAACTTCTATGCTATGAACTTTCACGATGATTCCCGACAAACAAAATATTTCATTCGTGTTGTGTACGTCCCATATTGAACAGGACATGGTGGGGCAGCCATCGCCCTATAAACATGTGACTTTTGTATTGTGTGACATACAAGACTGCACGACTCATCAGTCTAATGGAAGAGAAGTGTTCTATTTATTGCTTTTTTGTATTAAGCTATCCCACCATTGCTGCAGGATGTTTCCTATTATTGTGTAACTTTATACGCATGATATTATTACGTAGGATTTCACATTGATTCAGTTTCATTGTATTGAGTAACTTGAATGGCTTGTCATTATCCTGTAGGTAAAGAACGCTCCAACCAGTACGCAGTTGGAATTTCAAGAGAAGCTAGTGACAGCAACTAAATGGTTACTAAATAAGCTTGCAGTGTCTGAGGATCAAGTTTGCAATCATCGGATATGTGACCTAGAAGTTATTGAGATGAACGAAGAGGTCTGTAATTATTGTAATTTTTTTGTTTTTAAACCCTAAATTTCAACTAATTTGTTACTATTAGTTTCTCATGGGTAGTGTTTCTTTTTCAGTTTAAATTGATACAGAAATCACATTTTGGTTACTATGGAAACAGATAACTTGCCTTATTATGGCATTTTATATATATAATAATGTAAATTTTTTTCAAGGGTTTGCAGTTGTTATAGAGTTCGCTCCAAGTTAGTAACATGTCCTTCAACCTCTCACAACAAGAATTGGTTTCCTCCAAAATAACAAAGTGGTACAACTGTTGTATGGAAGTATTTGATAACATGTGACAATATAGTTCACAACATAACAGTAAATAGCAATGTTAATACTTAGTTACATTCTCCTGCCCAGCGATATTTTTATTTTCATTCAGGTTTTGTACAAAGATGGTGGTTTTCATCTGGTATCAAATACCAGTCAGTTCTAGCATTTTACATTTATTTAATTTCCTGTTTGTCGATTTTAACACCTGATGTCGGTTTCTGCCTTTTGCCAAAGAAAAGACAGCCATACTAATTTACATAATTTGATTTGCATAATTTGATTACTTTGGGGTCAATAAAGCAACTGACTGTTTGCCTGCTTTACAAATGTATCATTATTGCCATGAAAAATGTGTTATTATTTTTCAATTGGACAGTGTTAATAAATAAAACAATAATAATAATATTTTCAGCAAATAACCAGGAATATTATTCTAATATTATTGCTATAAGCAGAAGTAGTCCAAAGTATTTGATCGTTTCAGCACCAGTTCCCTCTTTTCATCACAAATTCACAAAATATTCCTGTTTATAGTCTGCACTTTTCTTCAGAAGACTGGGACAAAATAGACAAATTTTCTTGAGTAAAAACTAAACATTGAATCAAATTTTGTCCTTTGGCTCCAAAATTAGGAATCATTTCCAGAAAATTTACAGAATATTTGAAAAAATGCAGACAAATTTGGACAAGAAAGTGTGTTGGTGAAAACTCCAAAATGTCTTGAGCTTTTTAGCCAGTGTTTGATGAAGTCTACATTTGTATGTATCATATTTGATGTAATGTGTTGCTTTTGCTTTCAAATGTTTGAAAACAAAAGGAATGGTATGCTTTTTATTTCAAACTAATTTATTTAATGAGAGACTCTTCTGGTCATAAAGTTAGACCGGTAATAAAATATCCAGGCAGTAGACCAAGACATTTTATTATGGGGAGGAGTTTTTTACAGAAAAGTACAAGTAAATATATATACAAGTACTTTTGGTACTTTTGAAGGTATTTAGTGAGTTCTGTTAATGATTCTGCACAATATTCATAATCGAAATGGAAGACGGTGTCCTGTTTTCAGATGGCATAAACTATTAAAGTACAATACCTTAATACAGTATATGTGTGAGTGAACAGTGACCTTTCAAAGCTTGTAATCCTTTTGAAGCTAAAAATAGAACATGTTGTGTAAAGTGAGTTTTATGTATGTAGAACGTTTCTAAATGTTTTGTTTTGATTGTATAAAGTGATTTATAAAGTGTTTTTTTTTTTCTTCAGGTGTCTTTTATTCTCCTTGTCCCAGCAGCAGTAGATGTGTGCAGTGTTCCAGGTCAAACAGATGACCTCATGTCTGATAAAGAATACATTTTGCTCCCTGTTCCCGTGTTTGAAATGGGTGAGTGGCAGATTACAAGATACATTACCACCAAAATTCTCTGTCATTATGAATTAAGCTTTGAAACTATCAGGGTTGTGTACATAAGTTTAGCATTGTAGTAGTCACATGTAGTGCAGTTGCTGGAATTCCTCTTTACTGCTTTGCCAGTCAACAATGGCAAATTTTATTTAAATTGTGTCAATAGCGCCACCATTGCTTAAAAGTATTTTCTAAATTGACATTATTTGTAAACATGTCATTACTCACAGAAATTTAAATTAAACATCAGGAAAACGTATTGTAGACATCGAATGTATATTACTGTAACATGTTTCAATTTTCTACAAACTTCTGACAAATTCATGGTTTGCAAAGTGGCTAGAACCAATTTGAATTTTATTCTTAGTTACAACTAAGAGATTTGTCAACAGTAACTGTAGATCATTATGGCTTTGCTTATAGTTTTGCTCTACAATACTAGTACTCATAATGATAACATTGCATAGGGCTTGCTTATATGGTCATTATTTTTACCAAGCTGGATTTGTGTATACCGATAATTCCAATTTATCTGTCAAGAGTTTCTGACATGTAAAATTTTCCAATACCATCTGGTGGATACCTTACTCAGCTGTTAAAAACTAGCATTTTTTTCTTTTAAAAGAGAAACAGTTTGAATTTTGGCTTATACATGCTGTAACACAATCATATGCACTGAAAGACATTTTATTATATATACACTTACTAGAATATACTTTGGTAAACTTAATAACAGTTCTGAAATAGTTTTTTTCAGACATGTTCTGTTTTCACATTACATACTATTCAAATGCCTAAGGGATGCATATTATAGATGTGATAGATTACGTGCTTACAGCTACACACCATTTACATTGAGATGGTAAAATACAAAAATAGAACTTTTTATATTCAATGTGCAACAATTTGCAATTCACTTTCCTTGTTTTTTGTGATCAGAAAATTGAATTAAAAATGATTTGAGTTTGTGAGGATTTGCATATGCCAACAGACAATTTCATAATATCCTGATTATCACAATTTGTTGGTCCTGTTTCAGAATATATTTTTGCAATTTAAAAGATACACTAGGAAAATGATAACATTAAAAGTCTTTATAAAATGCAGTTTGTTCTTTGTTACAACTTTGAAAATTAGTTCAACACCTCAAAGTCTGGATTTGATTTCATCAGTTTATTTTTCCATAGAAGAGACTAAAATTATAATGTTTAAAAACACTGAGAGAATTCTTTCATGATTTAATGCAATTTTGAATAATCAATAAAAAATAGTTTTGGAAAAAAATTCACCATAACTCATCTTGCTCCCGTTTCAGTACATATGACAACGTATCAACCAGAGTTCATTCGTCGTTATGCTCGGCTGTCCTCCATTTTGGAAATGGATAGTTTAATCGCGCAACACATGCAGCGTGAAGCCTTCTCTGATTCAGAAGTCAACGAAGCCAAACTAAGAATTCATCAAATTGCAGAATTTCAGCAGGTACGGTAATATATGCAGCTGTCTCAAAATTGATTTGCCACCAGCACCTGGCTGCAGACTTTTCTGATTTATTCTCGGTAACCCTTTGATATTTGTCTGGATTAAGCTCTTTACTGAAGGCTCAATTTAATGCCTACAGGACGTGCTAACACTATATTTGCTCATAGTCTCATCTTTTTTTTATTCCTCTCAGATCCTAGAATGTACATGGAAAGGAATGCGTTGGATCATGGATATTTTACAGTATGCTAGAGATAAGCAAATCAAAGGTGGTGCCCCTCTTCTGGTACTTTATGCACCCCCACCTTCACCAGTGGATTCACCCTGTCTTGAGAAGAGACCTCAGCGAGGTAAGTGGTCTTGGGAACACAAGTAATACTATTAAGAGTTCAAAATAGTTCAATGTAAAGAGCAATTATTTTCCATTTTCTATAATTTTGTTCAATTTCAATGTTACTTTTTGCTTTAGAATAATAAATTGTAATGTAGCTATTGGATGAAGAAGAAATGAAAAAAAAGTATTACATTACTCAGCAAAAATTCAATAAAATAAGGAAAAACAATGACATTGTCATGAAAGATCGTGTGTATGTAAAAGGTCATTTTGTGTTTGTCACAAATACAATGTAGTTATGGTTTGACTGTAGATGTATTATTCGTTTTTGCAACCAGATTCATAGCTTTTCCAAACTTGATGCTGATGTTTAACCAGTCAGGGAGAATTTAATATGGTTTGTTAGCTAGGATTGCTTGTCCCTGTGAAATAAACTTAGCTGTCTTAGTGAAGTCTGTGCTGTTTTATTTCAGCACACTGCAAACTTCGAAGACAGAGTCTAGTTGGAAGTGGGAGTGATATCGCTAGCTATACTGGCAGTGAGGCTAGCAGTACATCAGACAGCCGCTCCAATTCACCCAGACGACATCGATGCGACAGATTGGGGTTTGGAAGCCAAGATGAAATGACCACCAGTACCTGCACAAGTACATCAAGCAGTGCGGCGAGCTCGCCGAGTCACAGTAGAGAACGAATTAATGGAGGCACGTCACCAACAACAGTGATGTCATCGCTGCAACCAGCGAATAGCAAATCAGGGATACTTCGAGTTTACCCCTCATACAAGACAGGGTTAGCACAGGGAACAAGTTTAAAGGTTAGTATAGATTGACCACTAGAGGGCAGTATTTACTAACACCATGTCTTCTTTCAGTGTTAGCCAATTAGTATCTTCACTATGAAATATACATTATATACATAGTTGCGTAATTAGATAAATACAATTTTTATGATATCCTTAGTTTTCGATTGTTTATGCACACGACCACATAGGAGTATTAGTGTTGTCACACTCAAGTATTATCTTTTAATATCATGGAGTTTATTTTCTTCTACTTTTACAGCTTCATGTTACGACAAGGACGAGCGCAAGAGAAATCATCAACCTAGTTGTACAGCAGCTGAACAAAGCGATTCAGACAAAAGGACTTGATGCACCAATTTACAGTGACGATCAATTGGACGATTTCTGCCTGGTTGCCGTCATCAGTCACAAGGAACACATGCTTCGGGACGATTATAGTCCTTTGCAGTTACAGAACCCTTGGACAAAGGGAAAGCTTTACGTCAAATTAAAAGACCCAGCAATATCTGTGTTACAAGTCGCACAGAGTACAACTGTATAGCTGCCAAAGAACAAATTTTATAAGTGTGCGTGTTTGTGTTTAATTTTTTGCTTTCATAATTTATACTTGGTCACTGCCTGTGTTTCTAAGAAACACTGAGAAGAAAGATATATATATTTAGTTTTTAAGGACTTTGTTTACTAAGACAAATAAACAGATTAGGCAACTCTTCAGGACTAGCCATTACCGTGTCCAATTACAGCGGAACAAATCAATAATGTTATCATCACATTTTTGATTTTCTATGAATGTCATTCATAATCAATTACAAAAAAATTGTTTTAGAACAGGAGTGAAGGCTGGATTAATTGTTGCAATCTGTATATGTAAATGATGATTAACAAAGTCATTAGATAATTTGTGGGGTTTATGTGAATAGGCTCATTTGAAGGTGCCACCATCAACGGCTCATGTTTATACAAGTTTTTACAAAGTGACAGTACATTTCCAAGAGTTCACTTGGTGTTATTTTAAATACATACTTTGAGGAAGACCTTAGTAGCAATTATGAACTCAAGACAACAAAATATCTGATAATTGTGACATATTCCGATCAAAATACTACGTAACACAGCAACCCACATATGGTCTATATGAAGTAACTGATTGAGGAGAATTGATATAATCATCGCTGAATGCTAATTGGATATTTACTGACTCTCGTTGTTGCTTCATCCCAGAGGATAAAAGCCTAGTTGAGTTGCCATAGTGATTATCTGATGGAGAAGATGAGCTAATCTGTTGTCTTTCAATTGACTTAATCTGCCAAGGAATCATTTTCTCCCAATTCATTTCAATTATCGAGATACAGTTGTATTATACTCTTTTTTTAAAGCGCTGGTTTAGTTACCTTGTTACAGCACTACTTCGGTCCAACCCACAAAGATATTTTTCTTTTCCAATCCTATGGATTGTTTATGTACTGTTTATATTACCATTATTGGGCTTATTCTAAATTATTTATTTATTTTCCATCTGTCTTTAAAAAATTTATCATAAAATATTTTACTGATTGTGTTGGATTTTTTAGATGAAAATCCTATTGTTTGCAAGATTTAATGGTCATTGAGAAGATAGAAATTTCCACAAATCTGTGTGAGTTTAGAACCCCAGTGAGATTTCCATTTCTAAATTCATGGATATAATCTAGTGTGTATGGTAACATGCAATAACCACAAAATATCATCAAGTTACTCGTTATGGCTTTTTAACTTCAACTCAAGATATATAAGGCAGAAGAAAGAATTATTGCTCTCAATTTGTGGAATGTAATTGTCAATCTTCAGTCAAGTGGCATTCAATCTGCATAGTAAAGTGACATGTTGTCGGGAATACACATGTGTGTATTCTACAGTTATGTTACTGTATCTGCATTGTATTGTTCAAAACATAAGTATTGCTCATTGTCATAACAATATTTATTGTCACAAAGCATGTTTGTTTTAGACTGTATAGGATCACAATGTAAGTGATGAACAACAGAAGAATAATATTAGAATACTGTAAAAGCATTTAATTTCACTGACATTTAATTTTACTATTTTGGTTGTTTGAGTATTTTTACTGGGTTTAAATTTAATTTAGTAAATATCACTTATAAATACAAAATAGCAAAAAACCAGCAAATATTGAATACATTTACAGAATGCATATGTGTAGCCTGATGAGGTCGCATCAGTTGCGCATGACTGACAGAATGATGTAGTTTTTCACGACGATTTTTTTGTCTGTACCAATCATATTGCATGAATGTTAGATAGTGACAGCCATCAAAGAGTAACCATTCACGGCAGAGTTTATTTGTTTGTTGACATAATGTGTGATAAGGTGCTGGCAAATTTTCATCCAATGTTTATCATCTTGTTAAAAAACAACCTGTGATTTTTGCCGACAATGCAAACATGGCTTTGGTTGGTGGTGTTAATATGACCACCAAAATGAATATTTATTAAAACTCATTGCAAGAAGGCGTGAACTTTGCGAATTTGTAGTATTGATTTTGCCGACGAGACATAAATAATTCTTTAGTGGGGTTTGATGCTGTTCGGCTGACGAGGGCCTACATGTCAGCCTAGTACATGTGCTATTCAAATGACTGTCACTTTAAGCTACACCCACAAGTACAGTGTAAATCAATGCAGTTCGACAATAGGATAGTGACAACATTTGTATTTTTAATTAAATGAGACAAAATAAAATAGTAATATAACACTGACTTGATAAAATTCACAGACAAAGTTGCAGATGATAATTATAATCATTGTTGAAATTGGTTTTATTTTTAAACAAAAAGAATCACACTAGGTGTCGATGTTGATAAAACTGCAATCTCTGTCAACAAATTCTTATTGATATAAGCTTCTAAATATTGTATCAGTTAATAACCAAGAAAAACAAAATTTAGCAAAATGTTGAACTGTCTATCTGAATTGATTACAACTGTAAATATGGCAAGTCATGTGATATTAAATCTGCATAATAAGTTAGTCCTCCCACAAATAATGTTGACGTGTCATATTTCAAATTTTATTCAACAAACCAAATTCAAATCTAATATTTATTTATTATATAAACTATATTCAAAATTTTCAAATTCTTGATATGGAGTTACGATATGTGGACACCATATGATTAAACTTCGTCTACGAACGCTGCCGTAATTTCCAATTTACAGATGTTGAAGGATTCGGATAATTTTAATTGTATTTCTTTCTTTTTTCCTCAAACAAATCATGTATTTCAAATTTCGTAAATATTATGATGAAATTTTTCTGAACTTTATCTGTTTTTTGTCGTTTTATTCACCGGTCATTTACATATTCAAATGTCATGTAAATAACTTTTTTTTCTAATGCAAAGCTTGAGGTTAGAGCATTAACGGTGTGGCTGGGTGTGAAATACTAGAGCATTCTATCGTTTTTCATTCTGCAGTAAAAATAGTTGAAACAATTGTGCATTGTACAGCATTGGTTGTCATGTCCTGTTCGATATGGGACTCATAGCGACGTATACAACACGTCTTTTAACCTTTTTACCACCAGACTTTTTTGCCCCAAATTATTCTGCACTATGTTTCTTAGATTTTTCACTATTTCTGGAAATGAGTACTAATTTTCGAGCCAACAGACCAAATTTGATTCAATTTTCAGTTTTTACTCATTTTACTATATTTTTGTTCTAATCCTCTGAAGGAAAGTGCAGGCTATAAATGGGACTATTTTGTGAATTTGTGATGAAAAGAGGGAACTGGTGGTGAAAAGGTTAACAAATTCTCGCATTTGCATTTCTAGGAGGAGTGTGTGCTTGTGATTTGTGATCTTCTCATTATCAATGTGACTTCATATTTGACTTTGATGACACCAACTGTATACTAGTACCTTCATCTTATAAATAATTTGCATTTATTATTGTCCTTGGCACTTGGTACCAATATACATCAACTCATATCTTTTTCTATTTTGAACCTAAATGATAATTTTGTTGGTTTTGATCAAAAATAAATAATCAAAGTGTTCATTCAACATGAATAATATAAATTGTAGAGTACACAACTGTTGCATGCTTGCTCCATGTGCATCTTTATGAATGTATATAAGCTACTTTTTATCTGCTTGAGTCGTTCTTTTCGTCCCTGATTATTATATTCCTTTTTAAAAAAAGAAATCCCAGAGATGTATTTATAAATTTTTTCTGTAAAGGAAAAAAAAAAACTCCGCATTTTGTTTAAATTATGTATAAAAAATTGCAATGATTTTGTTTTCTTGAAATATTAATTGGGACTCTTTATTGTGTACCTTATACCTCATCGAATTTGTGTTGTAGACGTCCATTTTTAGATGATTGGAAACGTTTTTATTTGTACAGAAGGACGTATGCCAAACACGACCCTTGTTGCATGCAAATTACATTTCATTATATCACTATGGTATCTTGCATGTACATAAATGATATATATATATATATATATATTGTTTGCCATTTATAGTAAGTTTAAACAGAGACTGATTTGTGATGAACCAGCTTTCATTTAATATTAAACAGATATTTTTCATAAAAAGATTTATCGTTATTGTGTGTTTGTGTATGGTATATTATACCTGGTCCAGTACATTAATATTATGAAAGTTATAAGGCTGAAGGTGCTGATAGGCCTCATCCAGTCACTTACACTACTATACTTGTTAATGATTAATTTATTAATAATCGAGACAATCGCTGGGAAAACAGCTGCCTGTGGAGGTGTATAGTAGTGGGAAGTTGAAGTGATCAGAAGCTTTGGGCCCTATACTTTATATTGTCACTACCACTATTTTATAGAAATGAATACTAATAATTGAAAATAAAAGATATTTATCAAATAAAGTAAACACCATAGGTTAGCCTGGGAGAAGGACAGACAAACAATGGTCTGATCTCACAAAGCTAACCCCGACACCCAACATGATCAAGTAGCACTACTTTTCACTGGTAGCATAGTGGTTGTCACATCAGACTTGTGATCAGTAGACCCAAGTTTAAATCCTACCTTAGGCTAAACAACAAAGGGTCGACCCCTACCCTGGGCAACTGTGCCACAGACTCAATGGGAATGTCAATTCGACTGGCTGAGATTTATTTATTAACAAATGCGTCTTTGGGGGAACCTTGGTTCAGGTTCGCAGGTGCTTGTGTTTGACTGAGCCCGTTTGACAACAGGATAGTGCATTAAAATTGCTATTTTATAGAGCAATGGACACACAGCCCTGTGATGTAGTCCTAAACATGAATATGACCTCTGTGGCAGAAATGCACTATGTGTCAGCAGGTCCTTCAGGTGTTAGGAAATCGAAGTGGTGTGTGACTTCCAGTACCCCAATGCCAATACATGATCAATGGTAATAGATACTTCATCACAAAATGCTAACAAGTTATTCTAAGCTCTTAGATCATATATCTTTACAGGTGCCACCTCGTTTGGGATGCACTTGAATAGGCATAGCTAGTTCACTTCAAGAGCAACA